TTCAATGCCAGATCTGGGCATTAGTATTAGCTACAAAATGAACAATTTAAAAATTTGTTAAGTTTTTGAAATTACAATTAGTTTTATTCAAATTGTCATATTCGTTTTCTATATCTCCATAAAAAGCATTATCTCATTTGAATAACATTACTCCCATAGACTTAGCATTGACCATGTTAAACCTATGTCATAGACTTGACATTATTCCTATAGGATACAGTAACATAAGCCCCATGTAACATGGGCCATGTTAAAGTATAGCCATAGACTTAAGCTGTAATCCCATGTTAAATCCCATATAGCGGGGGTGGGGGAAGGGTGGCCAAACGATCCTATAAACCACATTATTCTATGCAGAATTGTGGTTAAAAACTTTTTGACTTTGGCACTAGGCTTAATTCTGGATTAACTTGTCAATTAGTGATTGTAAATTTAGCATCGTTATCGCAAAACAATACTAGCGTTACAGTATTAAGAATTGGTATCGCGATACTAAAACAATACCGCCGATACCAAAAAGTTGTTTTTAGTCACTATTGTGCTAACAATTATAAATTATAATTTATAATAAACAAATGATGAAATAATTATAAATTAAATAATATATTTCCCAATTTAGGGTCCGTTTCCTATTTTGAGTCTTCAGTGGTCTATTGACAGTCAATTTGTTCTAACGTCAGTTAACGAAAGTAAGATGATCATGATCACTATTTGCATTTTTATCTCATTAAAAATTTATTTAAACCTAACGTATAACAGATAATTATCAAGAGCTTCTATTATGTAAGTATAAAATATTTTAAAAAGATAACAATTTATTAAATGAAGTCTAATTTTTAGGGGATTTACCAAATTGTCGATATATGAAAGGAGTGTCCGATTTTTCAAATAAAATTATTTGGTTTGACTCGACATGTAGTGGGGGTGAAGATGTGCGAGGTGATTTATCCCTGGTTAATAATTAAATTGTTTTAACCATTATTAAATAAATATTCCACTCGTTAGGGATTTGGGACAACCGGTATCTGCAGGATGTGGTGAACCTGAGCTGTCACTGCTCTCCGAGTACTAAATATTTGGTGAGTGGCGACGAAGAGGGAGTTTTGAGACTTTTTTCTTATCCGTGTTCCGACTCTATGGTAATTATTAGCATTCGTAACAATTAATGGCCATTTCATTAATGAGTATTCAATCATTTCAATTATAGGCGGCGTTCTTCGAGTATAGACAGGGAGGCGGAAGTGTCACCGAAGTTAGGTTTTCCTTCAATGAGGACCTAATCATTTCAGGCAATTATAGCGGAGCTCTATTTATTTGGACATTAGTCCCATTCGAAAACACAAGTCAACAAAATGTCTAAATTTAAAAATTATTTGTTATGAAGGTGCTTTAGTGACAACTTTCGTATTGTTAGTTATACGAAAGTTTGATTATCTTATGACAAAACATAACAATTATTCACATTATATACTCGTATTAATAATAATCTCATCTAATCTCATAGTGTTTTGATTTTTAGGAGTTGAAACAAATTATTGAGTGTTAAGTTATCAATAATCAGTCATTTTTATAACAAAACAAATGAATAGCCAAATGGAAAGATATTATATAACATGTTCAGATTACATTTAAATGACATTTCATATCATATTCCCTTTCGCTGCCAATCATTTCATAACAAATTGAATACAAAAATGATATAATTAAAGAATTGATCACAATTTATAAAGTATTATAGAATTGAACTTACATGATGTTAGAATCGAGTCCTTCTATGTATTCGTTATATTAAAAACTCAAATATTTGCCAAAATTTATAAATCATTATTAGCTGCAGAATAAAACTAACTGTTTACTTATACAGTATTTGTTTTATAATAATTATGATATAAATTTTATAGAATATTCATAATTAAAGTATACCAAATTAAGACTGAATTGAAAATAACACATTTTTAATATTTAATTTAAATAGATTTAGATTTCAAAAATTGTATTACTATTTGTTAAAATTGAGGAAAGAAATCATTAATTGAAAAATCTTTTACATATTTACCACATTTAATATCAATTTGTTGTCACAATCGTTGGCATTATATTTATTATTTTAAAACACATTTATCGGTGTCTTAAGAATATGATTTTGTTGTGTAATTTGTAAATATTATAATTATTGAAATGAATTATATGTAAACCACTTGTTAATTCATACATTACAGTATTAATAACTTAATAACGGTTTTCAATACAAATTAACAATTTAATTACTAGTTACAAATATAGGCAACAAGAGCTTAATTTGGTCTGATTTTAAAAGTTTGTTGAATTTTTATTTATTATATTTTATTATAATAATAATTTAAACTTTTAGTGCATTTACTATTAGTAGACTTTAATTGCATTGATTTTATTGTTCAGTATATAATAATATAATTTATATAAATTTACAATACATTAAATACCACATCAAACAAAACAAATATTAGCGTTTCGTACAAATATTTAAAGTGTTTGAAAAGTGTTTGAAAAGTTATAAAATTGTTAGCAATTATTTAATATGTATTCAAATTATGTGTTTTCCTAAAAATATAGAATTTTATAATTTTATAAATATTAAAACTCTTTGTAATTTGGAAATAAAACTTATTTTTAAAAAGTATTTATATCTTATTTAAATCATAGGTTATAACTAAATTGTTTGCATAGAATTATCATAAAATTTTATTGACATTATTATCTAACAGTAAATTTTAATATACTTTACATCTCTACTAACTATGTTAGAATGATGCAAAAAGTTTTGGCATAGGTCATATTGGTTTGTAATGATTCATTACTAATGATCTACATTGTTACGATAGTTTTATTACATGTCAGGTAAATACTCATTACTTTATGCAAACTTTTATCCTAATAATTGTCGATTTAATAGGTAACAATTAACTTTTATCAACTATTTATAACGAGTGATTAATTTGAATAGCTTTCAAGCAATTAGTTTATAAATGTGTTTAATATAAATCATATACAATGTACTGTAATGTTAGTGAATGTGTATTATACTGTATTGCCACAGACAGAAACACACACAGACTTACTGTACAGACTGTACGGCAGACTCTATTATAGGCGAGAGAGAGGGAGAGAGGAGAGTGTGTGTGAGTGAGTGCTGAGCGGTGTGTAGTGTATAGAGTCTATACTATAGACGAGAGTAGTGTTTGAATAAGTGATAGGAGTGTTGCCATTGGAGAGGCAATGGACTGATCGATGGCTTGTGTGGAGTGAAGGCTAAGGTGTTGTCCTCAACACAACACTACTCAACACAAACACAACACTAATTGCGATAATTGTTGTGTCGATTGTGAAGTAATTACAGTAAGTGTTGACAAATGCTGGCAATAATGACCGCTATTTAACACCAATTCACTCATAACTGGCATTCAGTCAACACTATTCACACCAATTCAACACTTTGTGAGCAATACATGACTACATGAGTGCATCCATCGCTTAATTGCAATCAAATCGCTATAAAGTGTGACATTTGAGGCCAATATTGCCATTCATTGGTCAGTATTTGATTGTTTTGTTTTCAATGCATTTCTCCATATATTTGTTGTTATGATAAGTGATAATCAATTCAATCCATTGTTATCTGTATTTAACATTTCAAATGCTATACAAAATGGGTTTCAATTATTTATTTACATTTGATTTATTGCCCTTTCATTCACTCCTTTCCACAATACAGTCAAAGCACTATTGATTGCATTTATGTTGTGTTGATTTGCAAACCAATACAACAATTAACACTTAAATTAATCACTCAAACATTGTTTCAATTAAATGTAGTCTTATTTTATATATAATTTTAATTGTCATTTGAAATGCATTTTCAATATTTATAATTGAAGTGTTATTATAAGTATAACAGTAAACAATGCATTCATTGACTAATTACTAAATTTATAAAATAATTAATTGTATGCTATATTGAAATGAATGATTGAATATTAGCTAACAATTGAAACTATTATTGATGTCATAATTATTACAATTAGTAATGGATTTATGAATAACTTTTAGATCAAGATTTGAATATTTGATGAGAAGATACCTTTATGTAAACTTTTCTGGTATTACTTAAAAGGTAATGATTATAATGTGATGAGAATAGTGTTGATTAATAATGTAATGAAATGCTTAGCGCTGGCGAGTACTCAGGGAGAGATCCGGGTGGGGCCCAGCCATCAGGCGAGGCTTCCCGACTGTCAACTCGATGTGATGCCCAAAGAAATGCCTGAGAAGTGTGAGACCCTGGAGGAGCTGC